AACTCTAGGGTTTACATAAGAAAAAAAGCAAAGAATTTCGAATTCAAGCGAAAAAAGCTTGTGGAGTATTGCAGTGCAGAAGCTGAACATAGCAATTACAAAATAACTTGCACGTTTTTCGAGCGAAGCGACGAAAGACGTAAAGATTAGAAACCTTAGTCGACGTACCGAGAGAGAAGAGAGCAATGCAACCAGTGCATTCTGAGGGATACATCAAAGCCACGGGCGTTGCATTTTGGTCCCAATAGCATTACCCTTCAGTAAGTTACGCGCCTAAAGATTCGGGCAAATCCACGATTGCCGTTTGTGAAAGAGCAGTCTTTGAGGTCCCAGAGCAATTGAATTCAGCCTCCTGACTCGCTGTCCTTCTCCCAATGGATTATTATCGACTTCTTCTGGAGCGCGAACTCTCAAGAACCCGATGTGCAATAGTGAATCAGCTGATAGTGTGCTGGTGCATGCTGATTGTGGGACAAATATACAGTGTGCGCGTCCATCGTTGGAAACTTCCAAAAGAGACTAAACAATTGATTGCGGGACACTTTTGTCAGAAAATTGCCAGAATTTTCTTATAAGCTTGAATGACTGAACAAATTGTATTGTGGAAAGCATGTAGCTATAAAGTGGTTCTACACTATCCTCGTCGTACCTCAAACAAAGCGAAAGAGTAGAGAACCACGTGGACCTGAACAGCTGCCGAGATTGGTAGCTTGACGTAGTTCGTCAGGATGTAGACCTATAAAGACACGGATGAAAACAGTTTGAAGGTGCTAAATCCCTCTGAGGTGGTGTGCACCAGGGACAAGAAAATCGGTGTTTGGTAGGAACCCCTCCCCCTCGGTAACTGCGAAATGTGTGGGAGTATCTACTGTGTTCTTCAGAATGTAGCTGCATATGTTGTGTGTCATGTGAACATCAACCGCATCAATCGAACAAAAGTCCTGAATCGGAAGGGATTTGTTTCCAAGAAGTTTTGTAATGCAGGAAGTGGAAGTTGAAAGAATTCACAATGATGCCCACCAGATGGAACAACACGAAGGCAAGGTATTGCGCTACTGAAGCTGCGTCGCTTATTGAGATTGGAACCACTAGCCCATTGCATAGCATTTTTAAAAGGGTGTAATTCTGTACAGAAACCATCTTTCACAGAGCCGCAAGGACGATTTAAGTTCTATGGTGGGGCTCTATACGAACTGCACTACATGCTTCAGCTTGCATGACGGCCCTGGACAGAAAATAACGCGGAGAAGGAAGAAGGCATACCCAATTTTCGCTGAGTACAGGGTTGCTCCACCTAGTAAAGTCGTGGGGCGCTACAGCGGCCCATTTTTTTTATTTATTTACTTATTTCCATACAAAGACCCATGGCGAAAACTACAGATGGGCTCAGTGCATTAACGCAATCATGAACCTGATATCCGATAATAATCATTTGATGGGCCTCTAACAAGGGAGGTCGTTCAGGCCGTGGTGAGCTTTTTCAAAACGGTTTGTTGCATGTTGTAGGGGTCCATGCGAGGACCATAGCGATGGGGTTCATTTTTGCTAAACGGTTCTGGGAATGTCAAAAAAAGGTCAAAAACATAATTCGAAAATAATGGGCTTTTTAAACCACCTTATTCGCCTCTGTTCTAGCTGTAGCGTTGACAGGGTATAGTATGTGGGGTATCCTTTGAGCAGGCATGAAAAACAGCGCAAAATAAGGTCAAAATCCAAATGGTCTACTTGGCATGCGGTGAGCTGCATTGGAGTTTTCCGGTCATCTGCGCTTTTCTCTTCAACAGGTCCTTGCATCTCCCGCGGTCGAGGTGGCAGATGGTGTGGTGGATAGTGCGACGGGCTCTCGGTCGGAGGGTTTATGGATCGGATCCCCTTGCCGACACAGTTTTTGCATTTTTCACATTTCTTGCCTCTTGTATTCCTGTATGCCCCATAATGTGTATGACCCGGATATACGCCATTTGAAGGCACATTCCATGCGGGAACGGTTCACAAATAGGCCTCACTCAATTATTACGCTCGCGAAATACTATCGAAAAAACTCTTCATGAAACTTGGGTTACGGCGGTTATCCGATGCCCTGTTCATGAACACGACACTCATTTTTGAATATGGCAAAATATGTCGCTAATTTGGTGCAAAGGCTTTCTCGCACTACCATTCATTTGCAGTCTGCGCGGCGGCACCGTCCTGGCCAGATAGGGCTCACGATGGCGCTCCGCCACAAAAAGTAAGTATCTGAACCGTGATCAGGATCCATATTAACCTTACGTATAGAGTTACGCCGAGAAAAATTTTCCCGAGCTTTTTGTGTTATGTTGCCGGCCATGTCTCCAGCTAGTGGCTATCAGCCCCCCCCCCTCCAAGGAGTCGTTATCCCACGTTAAGGGAAGCTTTTCATTTGCTAGTATGCAGACGCAGAATTAAAAACTACACAAAAAAATGACGCACATACACTGCACTCCTCTCATACCTTTGATATGAGAAACAAAAACCTTTCTCCAGGCAAGTGGTAACGAGTTCTTTGTCGAAAGCATAGACGGTAAAAGTGAAGAAAGATCCAGGATGCTTTTGGCTCCGAAGCTAGCAGGATGTTCTTTGAAGACCTGCTGAAGTTGAGGGGCAAAAAATGAAAAATTTCTGGCGGTTCGTCTGCCAGAGAGGATACTCAATGGAGGGGGTCTGACGGCTGCCACTGCCATGCCAAATGGTCAACCCATTGACCGCGCAAAAAACTCGGAAAAAAATTTTTCGCTGAATAACTCTTAAATAGGGGTAATCAATGGCCCTGATCACGATTCTGACAATTATTTATGGCGCCGACGTGACTGGGGCCAGCGTGGCGCTAAATGGCCACTGCGAGCGCGAAGGGATGCTGCATAAACCCCTCTGAAGAAACTGCAGTGTACCGCACTGTATGCAAAGTAAAGCACTTCAATTTCGACCTTATTCAATGTTCTTTTTCATGTCTAGTTGAGAAACACTTTATAAACTCTATGTACTCTTTGTATTCTGCTTTACAGCTGAAACAGATGCGAATGAGATGATAAAACTTGCGTATTTTAAGCGATTTGTTTTTATTCCTTTTTGACATTCCCAATAGCGTTTAGCAAAAATGAAACCCATCTGTGTGGTCCTTGTATGGACCCCTACAACATGCAACAAATCGTTTTGAAAAAGCTCACCACGGCCTGAACGACCTCCCTTGTAAGCTGACGAGAGACGAGAGAGAGATAGAGGAGAGGAGAGAGAGAGAGAGAGAGAGAGAGAGAGAGAGAGCTATGGAGGTATTTCTGTGAACATTCATGGTTATAGAAGACAGTGGTCCAGTGGTCAAAAAAGAGAGAGATCCCAGAGAGCCATTTACAAGTCCATTGCACATGCTCCAAAATTTAGCCGCAAAATAATTGCCTGAGGTGCAAACTACAAAAGAAGTTGCTGAGGTGCTGTGATGGCGATCGGTCCTCTACCAAACCTGCCAACCCTCCGCCCTCCGTGGTCGGCTAATTCGTACCAGACTTTCCTGAGAGAATGAAAGCGCTAAACAGTAATATCGACCGGATCCAGCAAGTTCATTCCAGTTTTAACCGCAGCACTTTGTATCGAATTCGAAAAGTCACTGTAATCCCGGGAAATAGAATGCAAGCCCCATCCGCAAAATGGAACCAAGGGCGAAAGTTCTCTTCTTTACTGGCTTCACTGTAATGAGTGTGTGAAAATTACCTAGGAATTGATATGCGTACAGACTCTGTAGTAAAGTAATTGAATTCATGTTGTTCTCGAACATATTCCGGGAGCAAGGCCAAAAAAGTGGACGTTTCAACGGTTACTGACGGTTTCCTTGGCTTGCCCGATTGCTAGTGAACCGGAATATGTTATGATTTCCATCCGCACTTTCCTTGCAGGGCTCCGTAACAGCCACCTCGGCTAGCGTGGGGAGGGCATTTGAGATGCTCATTTTTCTTCCAAAAACCCATGTAATGCAACCCCTTATTGACTTCCATTGAATGTCATGTGCACACCAGGGTCAAGCCGCGTCGAAGGGGTCCTACTTGGCTCCCTTCAGAAGGGATGTGGTCGTATTTGCAAGATCAGTACTGAACACAGCATCGAAGTAGCGTGCACGATGGATGATGGAAAGGAAGTCGAGTACATGGCGCATTCCATGGAAAAGTTGGCCAGCACCTCTGTGTGCTGGTTCCTATTTGAAATATGAGCAGGAGCTGCTCAGGAAGCCTGTCGTGAAATGTGGGCCTTGCGTCTTCATGCAGCAGCTGAAAATGACTTTGAAATGAAAATCCGCTACGGGCGGATTTTTGCTACGATCGAGCTACATGTTGTGCATTTTGGATAGAGAAAACCTTCTCTCCTCTCTTTCCTCTCTCTCTTTTTTGACCACTGGACCACGTCTTCTATAACCCTGAATGTTCACAGAAATACCTCCATAATTCTCACGTCAGCTTAGATACCCATCAGATGAGCCGCTGTAGCGTCCGCGACTTCACCGCCGCCGAAGAGTGCCAGTGCTTCGTGAGTTTTTTGTCCCTAAGTGTCCCGTTTCTGCATGCATCTCTGCATGCAACAGCATTGCGCTTCAAGGTGTACTGCCTCCACGTCCCCATCCCCCGTCTCGAAGCTTCTGCATTGATCGGATTTGGTCGTTTTGTTTCTGCTATAAGTGGTTTTGAGAACCTTTCTTCAGTTGACGTGTTGACCTTTCGTCTTTTGCAGAAGTCTTCAGATGGCTCAAACCTGTGAATTCATGAAGTACCCGACAGAACGAATTCCCTTTCACTATTTGCGACGTCCTGTCAGAAACACTCTTGCACAGCAACAGGTTTCATTTTTTATGGAAGTGAGGTTTACCTCAACAAGATAGAACCCCTCCTTATCAGTGGTGAGAAACATGCTCTTCATTCAGGTCTATAAATGTGTCTAGTGATATATTCCCTGAAGCCTCACCAATATTCGCCGACTCACAGAGCTCTGGAGGTCTTCTATTCAACTTTCATGGTGGAGGCACTTTTGGTGGCACTCAGCGAAGATTGGACAGGCCACCTCGTGGATAGTAACTGTGAATTCCTGCTGCTAAATGGCTCGCGTGTAAAACTTCGCAACTCCACAAGAAGTTAACATGAATTAACATGCATAAGAGAAAGTGCACGATAACCTCCCCCCCCCCACCCCTTCCCTCCCTCAGCCGACCAGCGTCGAGTCGTGCCTGTCAGTCGCGAGGAAGGGAACTTCCCTAGCACAAGCCTGATCTTCCCAATGCGAGGAGAATTTTGGGAGCCTCCTGTCATTCACGTACGATATAGCAACTGGCAACGTACTATATTATGCACAGAGCAGAAGATGCACAAGAAGAAGCTGAGAAAAAGGATTGGTCTTATTTTGTTCAGCTCCTTGATAGCTTTTCTTGCTAGAAAATACGCAAATGCTGATAAGAACAGACTGCCAAGCTGAAATTCATTTGATGAAGAACGGGACAGTCTACGAAAATGTGTTTCAAAACGGTTACCTGTGAGAAAATATTGAAATATTCGTGGAATACTGCGAATTCTTCAGCTGTGCTGAAACGGTTTGTCATTATGTTTCATCGACTCAGCGAATATAACGTCCTAGTAGCTAGTTCTGCTGATAAGGCTATCATAGCTATCTTTCGAGAGGGCAGGTGGACTTCTGCTACTACAGAGTGCAGTGTAAAATTAGGTGCGTGGTGTTACAGTACTCATCCAATTGGTTGTGAGAGTGCCGAATAGTTTCTCTTGCGCTAATTACATTAGAGTAGGCTATACCTGTGGGATTTTCGATGTGTGTTATTTGTTTCTTCTTTTGTCTTTTCACGATCTTGTCCCACCTTGCAGATCCCGTATTTTGCTGCCAAGTACCCTGACCTCTGTCAGACCGGCGAATTGGGACTAGCGTGACTGAATCTTCACCTATCATTTTGATAAGTTTGGTAACGGTCAGGATGCTTGGCAGGCGATGACTAAGCTCACAGGCATTGACAAAGTTGTCCGATGTGATAGAACTGAGCTAGCCCTGAGCCTCAATTCTATCACAAAGTTTTATTAAAGTTGTCCGATATTAAAACCACAGTTTACAGCATCTGGCGTGGTTGCAAGCACCTACCCCTTTTGAGATTATTAGCGCCGGTTCTCTATTATCGATAGTCCAGTTTATATTTACCAGCGTCTTCGCAACCGGGATAGCACCTTCCCTACTCACTGAGCAAAGGTAGTTGAACCTTTAGTAGGAACCATGCGATACGGTCAGTGAAGTGTCCCACTGTCCGGATCGCATGGTTCCTCAATGACATCTTGGTGCAGCTGCTCAAGTACACATCGTATCGCCTTACTGACACCCAGACTTCAGACCATTTTCAAGCACTGCAGATTAACAGTGCTTGCGTTATTGAGTCATTCGACGTAGAATTTCTGTACACGAACATAAGTAACCAGTCGGATCGCCCGGCTGACGCCGAGCTCTCCTCCTTCTTTAGCTCGGCTTCGCCGAGCTGGCCTGGCTTCGCCAGGCGCGTTCCATAATGGAAACGGAACTTTTTCAATAGTGGGCTGCTCATACGGCGCTGTAGTGATCGAATCGTAACAGATAGAGCAAGGCTTGAG